AACACAGAAACAGCAATCTTCTCCATCATGCCCTCAATTGTCTAGAGTTAACAACACATCTATCTCAATCCACTTATCCTACTATCAAATTGAGGGCCATAAACATTACCTCCTGGTGTTACAGCTTTTAAATGGATGGAGGGGACATGAGAATTTGTGCCCCAGGGAAGGTTCAAATGGTGAGGGGCACTAACAAATCACAAAGCAATCACAAAGTGTCTCGGTCTGACCTGGAGGAATGTTCTAGAAAGTGACACCTGCAGCAAGGAAAAGTGCAGAAAAACTCTCAACACGCTGTACCAGGCAGCCCAGGAATTTCTCATGGCGGAGGAAGCATGGACTGTCCTCTGTGATAGCACTAAGACAATATTCAGTTAAAATACTAAGAAATTATTTATCTGCACAGTGCTCAAACACAAAACCCCTCAGCTAAAGTACTTTAACACGCATTCATGTTTTTCTAGATCGCATAAACCACACAATCTCTCTCTCCCTCTCATTCTCTCTCTCCACTGATATGGTGTGTAGGAGAGGTAGTTCTCATCCAAATATTTCCGCTACGGTTTCTTACATGCTGTGCTATAGAACAGTGTTTCCCAACCTTTTTTTAGTCGCGGCACCCTTTGGAAATTTTAACAAACCTGTGGCACCCTACAGAATTAATTTTGTCACAATATTTGAATTTCTAACTTCGATATGATAATTTACGGCACCCCTGCTCTCGACAGACGGCACCCCGGTTGGGCAACACTGCTATAGAACACATCAAAAAGGCTCTTCCAGTACTTAGTAGGACAGGATACTATCACAAACACTATCAGTCTGTTTTAAAAAGGCTATGAGATATAATTGGCTGTTTTGCCAAAATTATTTAGATTATTTTTATTAATCAAGAAAAGTGAATATAATACACAATCATTGTGAGAACAATGCTTTTGAGTGTCTGCAGATAAGAACTGCCAAAGAACTGTCTTCATTTTTCTTAAAAAGATCAAATAATAAAATTTATCAACAAACATTTGCGTAGTCATCACAAATTCTTATAACTGAGAGATTACACTAAAAGCAAATAAACAGTGTGTTTTTATATAGTCTGACAGTAACACTTAAGTTTCATTTTCTAAAGTCTTCTCTATAGAATTGAGACATGCTCCTATTTTTATTTCACTAGTTCACTAATACCTGGCTCCTTGTATTGCCCTGCTCATCATAATCCAGTTAAAGAATTTGGGCCAATGAACCCTTTAAAATCCATGTAAAAGCTTAAAATTGCTGTTAAATATCAGCACACTGCAATAAAGCTTGATTGTTCTTGCCCGTAGGAAAAAAAACCTAAGACCCTGACCTATGTCTTGACCCCATCAAAGACTCCTAAGAACTTTTCTCCTCATTCTTGCTGACCTTATCTGAATGATGTTGGAGGTCTGACCCTCTACAAGCTCCATCTACCTCCAAAAAGTTTGAGTTGAAGTGATGTCTACATTAGGAGTTGTTTAAAGAAAACTGTCAGTCACTGTCCAGAAAACATTCACTTAGCTGACTTTTACTTCCCAAACATCTATTAAACATGGGTGCATGATGTATATTTTTTTTTAGATCTGAACTCGTTTCTTGGTCTAAGATCTACTCTGATATTGGAAAATAGGTCATGCAAAGTGGTAAGGCCCACTCTCTTAAGTCCCCATCAACACCATCGGTGTCCCACAGGGATCACTGCTTGGCCCCTTACTGTTCTCCATTGACACCAAAAAACTTAATTGTGTCATCTAAATTTTCAGTTTCTCATATACTGTACTAAGTACTGACAACAATCAACTGCACGTCATTTACACTAAATGCCTCTGCATTCACAGAGATTACACTTGGTATTAACAACATGGCAGAGAGTCGGACTCATAACCCAAAGGTTGCGGGTTCGAGTCTCGTACCGGCAGGGATTGTAGGTGGGGGGAGTGAATGTACAGCGCTATCTTCCACCTTCAATACCACGACTGAGGTGCCCTTGAGCAAGGCACCGAACCCCTAACTGCTCCCCGGGTGAAAAAATGGCAAAAAAATGGCTGCCCACTGCTCCGTGTGTGTGTTCTCTGCTGTGTGTGTGCACTTTGGATGGGATAAATGCAGAGCACTAATTCCGAGTATGGGTCACCATACTTGGCCACGTCACGTCACTTTTTTTTTTTTTTAAACAAGCACTTCAAATGCAGCTCCTGAGACCACGTGACTGGATTCTATCTCTGATTTTATGACTACATACCAGGGATGTGCAAAATTTAGAATTAAGAATTGGCTTCATACACAACATCCTTATTGACTCCTAGCTGACACATTGTGGACCATACTGAAGCAAAACATGAGTGCTTCATGCTACACAAGGAACTTGAAGAAAATCCAGCCCTCCATTAATTACTACTCTGCTAAGCTGTTTGTTACTGCAGGCTCTAATTATTTCATGACTAGACTACACTGCAAGCAACTACTCACCATCCCACCTGCATTACTCTCACATCAGTTTGAGCCCATCCAAAATGCTGCCACTCGATAAGTGTTTAACCTCAATATATTCTCTAATGTCATGCTCTCTACAATTGCTCCCATTAACTGCTAGAATTAAATACAAGACTCTGTTTCTATTTCCCACACCCAGGGCCACTCCTTAACTTCTACAGGCATCCAGGGCTACGTTTCCCAAAAGCATTGTAAGCTTAAGTACATCGTAGACCCATTGAAACCAATGGAGCTACGATCAACTTAGGCTTACGATGCTTTTGAGAAACTCTGCCCAGAACAGTTAAATCACAACTTACTTTCAAATAAAGCCTCAAGAGACAACTTTTCATAATTCACCTCAATAAGGATTAACACTAACCTTATATGAAACAATTAAACCTGCACCATAATACCTCCAATTTTTTCCACCAATTAGAACAATTTAATGGCTCAACTAATCTGTAAAGATTTGTCTGTAAAAGGTATACTGTTATAATCACTTAAAAATGAGCCAAAGATAATAAATGGACCATCATTTATGCATACTAAATGTGCAGGCAAATTCTTGGGAAAAAATAAAACAGTAAGAATAAAACAATCATATATTTAAACATTCGTGAATGACGTACTTAGAATACTGAGTGTCAATATGGTAGTAACAGGGTAAATAGGTGTGGCAGAGAAACAGGGTACTTTGCATATTAATTAGAAGGAGGAGTGTTTTGTCAGTTTGGTGATGAGAGGACTGAGATACTTCACAAATCATCAAACAAGAAATTACACATAAAAACTAATGATCTGTTAACAGTAACTAACCATTTAAAAGGCACACAAATATTTTACACAAAACTTCATAGGTTGTAATTTGTCAAGTGATTGTCTTATAAAAACATTCAAATGTGTTTGTAAAAGTTAACCCAAACATGATGAGCCAAATGTATATTACTAAGAACAACTTAAAGTATCAGTTAAAAAAAACAAATGATCCAACTTATTTGCGACTAAATCCACAAGGGGAAGTACTGTTATGCGTTTTAATAATGATAGAAGACTTACCCCTTGAGCAGACACTGCATACAAGACAACTGGTAACACAAAACTCCTGTGAAGGGAGATGAACAAAACCATCATATGTGCTCTAACGAAATAAAGCGCCTTATTTAACTCGGTGACTAAAACTGACAGTTCACTATTTAACGTCCAAGTGTCTGAATTTGTAACCAAGCGTGATAAAATGACATCTCTAGATATAAATGTACTTACCAAAGCTTCATTTTGCAAAGCTTTGAGGAAAACGCAGGTAATGTATCCTCGGCGTCTTCACGGTAAGCCTCTGTTAATGGCTTCAAACCTATTCATTTGAGAATCCGGTGAGCGATTCGTCCACTTCGAAGGGCAAGAAGTGAGATAAGGATAAATAGAAACAATTAGTATTTTATGAAGATCTGCTTCTGTTTGTCCTCTGCGAATAAGAGAAGTTCACTTACAGGAAAGTTCTGTGTTGGAAACGCTCTCCTCGCGGCAGAGTCGATTCACGCAGCGCTGCAAGTGCGCTGTACTCTGAGAAGAGGGCGGGCTCTCCACCCGTCAATCACCCGCGTCTCACGCTTTTGCCTCTAAACCAGGGCTGCCCAAACTCGGTCCTGGAGGGCCGGTGTCCTGCAGAGTTTAGCTCTAGCTTGCCTCAACACACCTGCCGGGAAGTTTCTAGTATGCCTAGTAAGACCTTGATTAGCTGCTTCAGGTGTGTTTGATTAGGGTTGGAGCTAAACTCTGCAGGACACCGGCCCTCCAGGACCGAGTTTGGGCACCCCTGCTCTAAACGAACAGCGATAACAACCACAAACTTATCAGTAAACAGTGTGCCACTCATGTAAGCTGAAATATCATTAATGCAGCCTATATCTCACACACAACTGGACATAATAAAACATAATGAAAATTACATGAACACATAACACTGATCAGAGTTGATTCAATTAACTCCATACAGATTAATGCATGTCTAACTCAATATTAATAATCAGTAATAGGCTGCAAAATTACTAATTTTAACTTTAAAATAGCACAAGATAACTTCCTATGTAGTCTATCTCGATTTATTTCAGCAAATGCAACTGCAAAAAAAGTGAACTTTAAATAATATAGCCTTTCTGTGCTGGCATATATAGCTACATCCTTCTGTTTGATAATTGCCAAAAAAGGAATACAAATAGCCTATATATTTGTTTTAATTCCAATATTTGTCTGTGATGCGTCCTCCGCCACGACATCGCTAACAAATCCCCTTATAAAATCAAAAGAAAGAAACAGTGAGAAAAATCGTTTTTATTAATGATTTATCCAACAAAAAAGCACCAAAAGACATTTAAACGTAACTTTTCATCCTCCCGTGACTTTAAAGCTTAACGTCTGTGGGGATCTAGACTGGTTTTTGGCGGAGGAATATGAAGTAGTGCGGTGAGCTGGTTAAGGGGGATTCAGTAAAGTGACGGTTACATTATTGCGAGCGCTGCCAGCACTGGACATCCTTGAGACTTTACAAGAATTCCCCTATAACTTTTAAAAAAACGTGCTGGTTCTGCAGTTAGCTTAACGGAGGAATATGATACGTTCAATAAGTGTTCATAGTTGTAACTCTCAATGTTAAGAGGGCAGATTCGTTGAAAATCAGTATGAACTTAAAGGGTCTCCGCGTGGTGTTACTGGTGTTTCTCGCTATAAGTACAGAGCCGCGCAAATCGGAGTCTGCGGTAAGTAATCATTGCTTGTTACTTCTTTTAGTTACATCTTAAAGTGAAACAACTGTTGCCATTGCTTTGGATCAAGCACACACGCTTTAGCTAATGTTTATAAACACAGGTTACTTTATAACACGAAAGTATTGGTTTCCTTGAGATCGCTAAGAACAAGTGCGAACACGTGACTTGAAACATGGGCTATTCATCTGCAATCGTTAAAATACAATCCGTTATATTTGATTGCCTCTACTTTATTGAGTGCAAGTGCAAATATACGCTCATCACATTTTAATAGTCCCAACTGCATGTAGAAACGTAGGATGCTATTTTAAAATGTATTATTAATGTTGGATATAAAACAGCAACTTTATTTAAGATATCATTTAATAATAATCGTAAAGTTTCTAACTTTCTGGTAACTCTTGTCAATATTATAGGCTATCTTTCTGTTTTTATTTTTGTTGTTGTTGTGTTTGCTTATTAATTTTTTTACTTGTGTATTTATTATCAGTATTTTATTTTTTTTCCATAAATACACATGTAGTCATTCTCATGCTCATATTGCATACTGGTTAACCTCACAGTGGTTATGTTAAATATCTTTTCTTTGCAGTGGTTTCTAATCTGCACCAACAATTTTTTGCACAAATGTTACTGGTATAAGCGAATGGAATCTGATTATTGACACTGTATTTATATTTGCACATTACATGTGACATTATTGCCAAATTAAATGCCAGTTATTTACTCATCACAAACTTGATGTGAAATGATAAGGAATAATTGTTCTCATTTGTAAAATTTCCATATGAACCCATTCATTGAGCACAATTTTGCTGTGTTTTTAGCCACTACACCACAGAGTGATCCTGGTCAATCTGACATGCTTTGCATGCCTGTATTTTTGGACCTGATTGGATACATTGTCGCAAATACAAAGATATGGCATCACTATGTGGCCGATTCATTGTCCCACTGTCAGAGTAGGCAGTAGCAGGAGGCAGACAGGTGAGGACATGTTTAGGGAGGGACCTGTCCTAGAGGTACAGATACAGCAGGGACAGAAGAGCACATGTGGTGACCTTACAACAAAACACATCATGTTCCTACATTTCCCAAAGGGCATTGTTGTGCACCAATCCCAACAGACTGGCTGTTGAATTGTTCAGATTCTCAATAAGAATTCTGGAGCTCTTTCATTTTACTCCTAAGGATCCGCCCAATTTACAAGGTGAAAGGTGGCATCTGTCATTCATAGAGAGAGGAGTTTACTAGCCATTAGGATAGGCATGTAGACATAGAGTGCCACCCATCCCCCGAGACCAAGATTGCACGACCCTCAGGTCTATTCAGTAAGTGAATCTAACCACAGCCTATTGTTCACACAACCTCTTAACCCCTCAAGATGATGAAAAAAAATGCCAGTTTATACGTACCACCCCCCAGTCCAGTATGCCTCTGTGTTTGCATGATGTGGATTATCAAGGAGACAGTGTGTGGCACTGATTATTTAGGATAATTCCGAATTTGAAACATTTGTTTTATAATGTGACACAAATAGATATATCCTTGAGGCTAGAGTTCCTTGCTTTGGCTTGTGCTCGATGCTTTTCAAAGATACCGTTAGTAAATCTGACATTGTTCACGAAAGAGTTAATAATAAGGCAAATTAGTTTAGAAACATGATGGACACCAGGGCCATTGCTAGACCCCTTATAATGGGACATTGGGACAATAATACCGCTGTGTCCAAGTAAACTATTATTGATAAATCCTTGTCTGGTAATATTTTAGCAATCATGTCATGTGTCTGTTTAGAATCAGAAATAGTGATGCCAGATTTGTGAATGAATAAATATTGATGTAATTGGTCTAGTTTTGCAAAAAAGTCTGAAATAGTTTAATTCATTCATTGACTTGGATTAATTCATTTAGACAGTTCACTCTGGCATAGAAACGTTTGTAGCTGTTTCTCACATCATAACAGAATACTTTATAAGTCATAAAACAAAAAGAGCGCTGGATGAGGTGGATAATTAATAAACTGTAGGTAACAAAACTTGTAAGCAAATGTATTCTATCGTTTGTCAACAATGAAGCAGCTCTTTATTGCAGGCGCAGCTTGTGAAGACCGCTTATATCCATTTATCCATAACATTATCAAAAAAAGTACCAAAATATTGGGAAACTGGGGGGGGGGGCTATGCACCAGTGCCGATGAAAGGCTAGAAACGCTCTTGGTGGAAAGCACTCAATCTAACTAAGAGATGTCCTTTTGAGGAGCCAATGCAGTGTGAAAGAACAGATTTTTAAAGCCTTTATTTTTAAAATGTCAAAGCCTTTTAACTCAAAGCAGAATGGAATTCCTGGCAACAATTCCCAACCTTCTGTCTTTCAGTACTGGCCACCTAGTGGTCACATTAGTGTATTTTAAAGGGGTCATATGATGCTGCTAAAAAGAACATTATTTTGTGTATTTGGTGTAATGCAAAGAGAAAGGAAAAATTGAAATCGCATCATATGACTCCTTTAATGATAGTTGAAGACAAACATGTCCTTAGTCAGTAATTTTTATTTTGTTTATATACAAACTAAAATTCTAATTATCTATGATATTTTAGGTTTTTATTCTTCTGGAGATGCCAGAACCTGGAGTCACCAGGTCAGAGAGTTTGTTGGTAACTTGAACCATAGGGGTCTGCTTTGAACGTTTCATACTTGAGGGACTCCATACACCGTGCAGGTCAAGGTGTATGAACATGTATGGGTGTGTGTGTGGCGTCTGTACGTGTTCTGCTTCAGATATGTGTGTGTGAGCGCAGATATGAGCACACTTACATGCTGGGATGTGTACATATCTGCTTGTATATACATAATATGGTAATGCACATACATGTTAATGTGCCTTTGCACATGTCTGTGTGTGTGTGGGTCACAGTGTGTGTAATAGAATCCACCAAAACCCCTAGAGTCACAAATGATGAAGCACCCCAGCTATAAAAAAAAAAAAAAAA